TGTATTCGCGAACAGGTCTAATAATCGCGATCACGTGAGATAATCCAGCGCGACCCGACCCTCATCGCACGGTAGAAGGCCCTCGAGGGCTGGTAGACCCGAGCCATGCAGGACGCAAGCTTTCTTACACGCTACAGTTAGAGCAGTTAGCTTCTGCTCGTGTGTGTGTCGACCACTTGAAGCCAGCCTCATCTACTCGCGAGAGATTCTTTCGGACGACTTCGGCGTAGCCATATCGTCTGTATCGTACCTCCTTATTGCATACGGCTACCAGGTTGTTTCGCGGATGAATAACACATCACATGTACATGAATTAAGGTGCTAATCTGATTAAAAGCGGTGCCATGGTATATCATGTAGTACTGGAATGGAAACTATCAGGAGTCAGTGGAGAGTCTTCCACGGGATAACAGATGGGCGTTATAGTGATGACCGATCGAAGAGTGCTCCATAGAGTCCAGTGGTCAGCCTCTCTGGGTATGATGAGCTCCCGCAGTGGCCTCCCTTTGGCTTGTCTGGTCTGGACGAGGTCGATGAGAGTGGCGATTAGGTCGGCATGGGCGGCCGCGTCATTGCCGAATGGAATGGCCAGCGTCTCGAGGTGCGGAAGTAGTTCGTCCGTATCGCTCGATGGGTCAACTGTGCGGTAATGACAGAGTGCTTTTAATAGCACCCCGAAGTCCAGAATAGACGGCTGAAATTTCGCTTTGATAAAACCAAGACGCCGAACTCCACCTGCACGTAGCAGTTCTGACCATAACGCCCTGGCCTTGATGATATACGCGATGTATACATCAATAGAGAGCGTATGAAGGCGCTCAATGGCGATGGCCGGGAGATAGAGCACCATGTAAAACCCCCTCATTGGATGGAGCCTCCGGAACCTCGATATCTTGAATATGTTGACTATAGACTCTGGGAGGTTCAATGAGTGAGGCTATAATGCAGACGGGAGAGGCCGCGTACGAGTATTTGAGACCAGCCTGAGCCTACGCCGGGACATATCCATTTCGTGTGCCTCAACGGACTCGATCCCGGCAAAGGAGAGGATGGAGAGTAGCCGCTTGCAGATATCATCAACTATCGATTCTTCGGAGACAAGACGTATGGCTCCAGCTACTACATATTCGCAAGAGGTGCCTGGTGGGGTGTGGAAGCATGAGATGAATTTCAATCCGTCGAGGCCCAACTCCTGCTCAACGGCGTGAATGCGCAATCGTCGCAGAGAGCCTGCCAGAACGATAGGTGGAAGCTGCCCATTCATGCCAGGGTCGACGTAGGGAACCACATCCCATAGTTCAAGCACTTGCAACGATGAAAGACCTGCTAACGAGGCGACATCTTGATATGACGGGCGATGCTGGCGTAAACCATATAACTCGAGATGTGTCATATTCAGCGAGGTGAGCAGTGGTTGGCGCCACGGTATTCTGCAATCGCAGAGAATTAGGCGGCTGAGGTTCCCTAAAGATCGGATGGGTAGGGGAAGGTCGACATTGCCGCTGTCGTCGCTCGTCGTCACGTCAAGATCCGTCAAGAAATGCCTCTCCGAGTTCTCGGAAAAGCTTGATGCAGCATAGGTGATGAGATCCATGTTGGTGGCCAAAGTCAGGCGCCGAGTATGTCGTAAGACGGCGGGCGAAAGCCAGGCATTCAGGCCAGGATCTTGCGCAATGCCATCCTCCATATCACATAGGTCCACTTCCAAGTCAAGAGGCTGTGTGCGGGATCTCAAGAGGATGTCCGGAATGTATTGGTGATTAATGCTGAGGACATTGATGGTCGGCTTCGACCATAAAGATGGGACACCGAGAGCAACCTGAATTGATGCGTTAGTCTGACATCCGGCGAAAGATAGAGTGTGCGTACGTACCTTTCTCCATAGACCGCAGACATGTGTAATGCACATCCACCCCGAGTGGAATACAGGATTATCCTCGCTCCACCTGTCTGCCCATGGCTCCCAGTCCGGCTGTAGACACTCGAAGATGTATGCGAGTACCTCAGATGGTAAAGCGCAGGGACCAGCGCTCAGATTGTGTAGTATTCTGCGTGCTCGACGAAAGACTTCATGAATGTCGTCCAGTTCAGAATCCAAAGCCTCTGGTCGACGCTGGCGCGAGCCGTGTTGCAGGGTGCTCTCCGAGAGGCGCGTATCGACTGAAGACGACCACGGGGTGCTGCATGGTGATCATAATGAGTATCGCTCTCATGCAGCAATAGCGTATGCACGACATACAGTCTATCCCCAGACATGATGGCAGTTGAGTGCGACTCGCGACACGGCGCACAGGTTGAGCTCACCGCTTCGTGGTGCCCAACTGCGACCACGTGAGTTTCATAAATCATAGGGTCGTTACTCTGAGGTCTGGACGCTGGAAACCGCAGTTCTCTGTAGATACTCTCTCATTCACAGCGGCTCCTGAGGCCAGTCTCACTCTATGGCAGGGCACTCACATCGAATCGCTCGGCTCTCGGCACCCTCAAAGCACGTACTGCACAATGTATATACAGAGTAACAATGTAGAGTCCTTCTACCTACTCCCGCAACCTAACATCGATCTCAGCTCCCCACAACCCGACTCTCCTCTTCCTCGTATCCCGGCATACGCCACATGTCCCGCCCACGTCTCGCCAAACCGAGGTTACCCTGGCGGTGCCACAAAGTTCCAGTACATAGTCACGCAACGCCGTTTCGAGCAATTGACGAAGGACTGTGTTGGAGTCATTCGTGCGGGCTTGGAAAGGGTCGGCTGTGTTCCGCACACGCGTTCCTTGAACTGCGCGGCGTGGTCCGATTGTCCACGGCGAGCGGTGTCCTGCCTGATCGGCCGAGCTTTGTGACACCGGTCAAAGCTGTCGCGGGTGATGTAGACGCAGCTTTCCTAGCAGCAGAAAAGCGTAGGGATAGGCTCTAGCATCGCCGGAAGAAGCCTGACACAACGTGAGGCGGTTTCCGTAGGCCGGAATGGGCGGCGGTGGTATCTGGCCGGGCGTTAGCACGACGTATTTCGATACAGTATGATGAGCATACCAGAGACGACAGTCTCACGCTCGATGATAGTGAGCCGCAAAGGGGGTATGGCAGTGCAAATTAACTGGTATTGGCCGGTGGAGGAATGACGTCTATTTGAATCGACCTCCGAGTGGGCATTGCACGACGGGGCGCACGAACACCGGCTCATGGAAGTTGCGCCTATTGGTAGTTGATTATGCCTGGCCCTCGTCTGCGTCAAAGCTCGCTGTCTTCGTGTACATCTGGTAAATGAGCGCGAATGTAGAGGAGTCCTGAGTCCTGACGAGCAGGCGATGGTGGTGGTTCCTGTGAGAGCGAGCGCTAGCACGCGACCTTACAGTACTGGTGATCATCGATCATCGATCATCACTCTTCTCCCGACCATCACCATCGGCATCTGCCCCAGACCACCTTCGGACCGGAGTGTTTGCATCCCGCATCTATACAGTGAGGCTCGCTTCGCGTGTCCTGCGAACGGCGTCATCGAGGCGACGGCTCTGAAACTCACTTATGCATGGCACCCGCTTGCACCGCCCATGCGAATGGGTGTGAGGGATTCTCAGGCCTAGTCTCATACCGTACTGAGCGTGTACCATGCCATGCGGCCATACTGCACCGCATAGATCGTCTGCATTCTGACTCTCCCGAGCGTCGATGGCAATGCGCTGTCTACTACAGTGAACGCGAGACTCGGCATACGCATGGCGTTTGGACAGCCTCATCAGCGGCATGGGAGATTCGCACATCGAGTGACCTGATAGGACATCGTTCTTCTGTGTGCGCCCTTCGCGGCACTGAATAGAAGCCGTCTTGTGCCGGCCCTGGGTTGGCATTCCTAGCCCCTTGCGCCGTGCGAGGACTACCTCGTGCGAGACGTGCAAGGACCTTCTCCGCCATCTCTGCTCGTTCAACGGCAAACGCAGTTCCACAACAAGTATCCCGTTCTGCCGTGCCGCTAGAGTTGCGCCGGTACACTCTCTCCGTGGTCTTCGCGCGGATCATGAGGCAGTGAAGACGTGTATATACGCGGCTCGTGCCCTTGGTGTGCTGTCGCTCGGCGCCCACCATGGCCTCAATCGATGATGCTTGCCGTCAGCTTCTCCCAGGTTAAAGGTATAGCCGAGGATCGTGTCTTTCCCCTACTGCTGGAGACGTTCTTCATTGGTGCTTATGATGAATTACACTGGACCCCGCCCATGAACTAACTGGGTCTCGGCGTAGCGTTGCATGCCGTCCTTACTTTGTACATCGTGCACAGACGATGGTAAGCTTCGTTCACGTCGCACATATCACTGCCTGACGGCTTCTATACAGGGTCGACCGAAAAGTAGTGCCTCTAGTGCATCCTTTCCTATTCGTGATCCTCGCGATGTTCTTCATATCTTCCTGTCACTGGGCGCTGGACGTCTTCATGCTTTGGAGGGACATCTACAAGTTGCTTCCACAACTGGGGGTCTCGACTCCCGTGCTCGGGTACTTACAGGACCAGCCTGAAGCGTTATATGCTCAACAGGTGCTGGGCAACATTCTGGTAAGGACGATACACTTCCGAATGTTCAAGTGGAGACGCTGATAGAGCGATCATGAAGGTCGTATTTGGAGACGGCGCCATCCAATGGCGCGCCTATGCTATCTTTGGACGCCCGCGGTGGTTGAAGCGATTCTTGATCGTGATGTTCATAGTCGAAGTTGGTGCGTATTCATCCCCTTCTGGCCACGCGAGGCAGTCTTGCTCACATAGTGAGACAGGATTATACGTGGTGGCGGTCCTTTATGAGCTATTACCGCTCTTTCCGCAAGCACATACATCGCTGCTTCTCGCGAAGTCGTATGGCCGAGTGTGGATACCGATATCGTCCGCAACTCTCGCGGTGACCGGATGGACATACACATCCTCGACAGCATTGATCGCGTACAAGACGTGGTAAGTGCTCTAGTTGTTCTTCTTGTCCCGGCCATCAACGCACGCTGCGCTGAGCTAGGCGCCACCGGAAAGACGTCCGAACATACGCACACCAGTACAAATCGCAGACTCTGGTCGTCCTAGCTGTAGTAGTCGAGTCGGGAGTCGCATATACCGTCCTATGGGTACGTTGAGCTGATCTGAGTGAGGACCTTGAGCGCGACTGACGAGGCTTCCGATTCCCAGGCTTGGTATACCGGTATCAACTTCTCTTCACTGACGCGCATGCAAGCATGGCTCGACTTCTACTCCGTCCCGCTCTTTGTGCGTGAACTGCTACGCTCTCCGCCCACAACTGACGATCGAAGAGCAGGCTATGTACCCCGCTATCATCATCATGCTTGTCGCAACGCGTCGCTCGATTCTTGACAGGAGTACGCATGCTACTGGCACCATCAGCGAGATCCGATACATCGCGCCGGACTTGCACCCGCAGTCCACCGATGAATCTGGTAGCACCCTCGCTGCATCCGCCAATAAACGTGCAAACGACAACTCTGCTCCGTATGAGCTCTCGCAGGGTATTCGATCTACCGGCTTTGACAAGACTATGCGCTCAGAAGTGCCGGTTGACGGCATGACTGTGGTTGATAAGGGCAGTGACGTTGAACTCGATGAAGCTGAACGGGGTGTATGCAAGAACTCGATGCGATTGACTTAGATACATATTTACTGATGAATGCGTATGCGTATGATGTACTATACATGACTGTCTTCTGGCATCACCGGAGATCTTCCCACGGGGAAATCAATCAGCGTCACCTTCAGCATCGTCCGGAGCGTATCCCACACGGCCCAACCCCCGACCGCCTTCGGCACGAGCAATTCGTGCAACGGCACTTCTTGTTCTCGTCGAGCGTGAATGAGGTCGATCAAATCGATGACCAACTCTTGGTGTGTGGACTTCTTTGAGGAGATAGGAAGTGCTAGGACTTCCAGGGAAGGGAATAGCATGCGGGTTTCGTCGCCTGTACCGGTAGGTTGAGGCGAACTGAGAGCGGGTAGTATATGCGAGAAATCGACGTTAAATTCGCCTTCATACATCTCCAATAATGCGACTTGGCGGACGTTGTTCGCGCGAAGGAGGTGTGGCCAGAGGTTCCCTTGGCTTATGAGGCGGACGGAGGTCATGTCGAAAGAGATAGTGTCAAGGTGTTTGAGGGTGATGTGTTGAAGATAGTCGACTAGGTGAAAGCATTGTACCTCTTCGTCTTCGTCATACATGGGCACATAGAGCGCGTTGGTCACACCCTCATCGCTGAGGCGGGAAGGGTGTTCGGGTGATGATGTGGACTGTCGCTGGTTGTCCAAGACAAGGTATAGCTTGTCACAGTCCAAGTACAGGTGGCGTAGTTCAATCTTGCCTCCGCTAGCGAGCGACAGATCTGGTAGAAGACGACCCATGATAGCGGAAATATCGGACTCCTCCCCTTGGGGTGGGGCGAAGGTGTGCTTGTGGGCGCACCGGGCAGGGACGCGAAGCGATGACACGAACATCAGTCCGTCCATGCCAGTCTGCCCGTCCTCTATGCAACAAGTAGTCAGGCTCCTGAGATGTGAAGACATGGTGATGGGAGCGTCATGAGCTCTGAAGGGTCGGATCGGGCTGAGGAGGGGTATGATGTTCTGTAGTTCGAGAACCTTGATTGTTTGCAGAGACGTCAGCATGACACTGAGTTCGTCGTACGAAGGACGAGGCCCGACTCTATTGCATGATAGGTGCAACTCGACCAACTGCGACGAAAGGAGAGGGGACGCCCATGGAACCTCGAAGTTGTTCAAGGTTAGACGAGTTAGAGATGGGAAGTCCCGGAACGATGCGGGCAAAACGACGGGGTTGTCGGTTTGAGACAGGGTTATGTGCAGCTCTCTTAGGTACGCCATTTCGGAAGTAGGGCAGAGCTGCGTTGCTATGCGTTCAACTAGCGGAAGCTCTTCGGCGACTATCTCGAGACGCTTCGCACGCCGGAATATCGAGGGAGATAACCAAGCCTTCAGGTTGGGGTCTTGCCGGACCATTTCATAGTCGCCATCCCAATCTATTGCAAGATCGAGTGGGGCTGAGCGAGATCGAAAGAGAATGTCGGGAATATACTGGCTAGGGAGACCGAAGACGTCGATCCTGGGCTTAGTCCATAACGAAGGAAAGCCGAGCGCGACCTGGTATGAGAAGATCAGCAATGTGCCTAAGATCATAGCCGGTCTGTGAGTGACACACCTCCCGCCATATGCTACAGACATGGCTGACAGATATCCAGCCTGCAGCAAACTTGAGGCGAGATTGCACCGGTAACCCAATGTACAACCGTTGTGGAGGCCAGAGTGGTTGGAGGCATTCGAAGATGTATGCGATAATTTCGCACGGCAGCTTACAAGCCCCGATCTTCTTGTTGCGCATCCGGCGCGCACCGTAAAGACCGTTGGAAATGATGTCCAACTCGGCATCTCTAGTCTCTACGTGAAGTTCGGGCGGCACATGGGAGAGAGCACGGTCGGAGTAGGGCGAAGTGATGAGCGATAAGGGAGAGCTATTCGTGAGGAGTTAGTACAGAATGAGACGGGCATCAAGTCTGCAAGAAGCCGTACGTTGAGGTATCGTTTGACATGATGGTGGTGGTGGTCGAAAGAGAGGCCGTGTCCATGGTTCGAGTCTCGACGTGCATCCGGCGCTTTTGTAGTAGGACTAAACGCTGTCACGTGGATTTTTACGGCCAAATTAGACAATAGAGCGTTGCGTGCCGCCGCTGAAACCCAGCTTGAGCACCATCGTCTGGCAGCTACAGCGAGACCCAGGCTGCAGCATCAAATGCGCCATGACGTCTCAAGGAAACAGTCCGGCTGCGTGAGACTCGTTCGCATCACACTTCGAAGAACGGCTCGCTGCCTCCGCGCGCACACCTCAAATATACCCATCCTAGGGCAGTTGGAGAAAGCTCACTGCATCACTACATCAGCCCACCAATGCAGAGGTATGTGTTGGGAGGAAGCCGCGTTGGATTGCGGCTACTAGGGAGGAGTGGGTGCGGAGGGGCGTTGCTGGGTCTGAGTAGATAGAAAGAGCGGGAACAACTGTGAAGAGGAAGTTCGGCTAAGTGTCGTGCGAGCTCGACGGTGAAGCTGAAGATTCTTCGATGGGTTCGGAGGCGGCGGTATCGGTCTGGATATCTCGCTGCTCCTCGACCTCGGCTTCCTCTTCAGCAGTCTCAGCGTCCACACCCTCCTCTTTCACGCCCTTTCCCTTCTAGACTTCAGGCAACGGCACGTCGAAGGCCTCGGGTGTCTTCGGCGAAGGTACGTCCATAGACGTCCACCGCTTCCGGCGTCTTCGGGAGCCGAACAGACAGACCGTCATGTAGCATGACCCGAGGACCTGGATCCTTGCACTCTGCCTTACAAGGCCCCAGTCAAAGGCACCGTTCGACTTGAGTTGCACGTCGCTTCCTCATTGCGAGCGAGGGCCAGGGTGCCGACAGCGGTCGTTGTTGGGAGTATGTCGGGACGCACGTCTAAGCTCCAGTCGCACGGGCACTGGCAGCCGCATGGGTTTAGTGTACGATTGGTAAGCGGTTGATCGCTCGATTCGCCGTGTACTCAGTCAGCGCAGCTGCAATAGGGAAGCCAGGGTAGCAGTTCTATAGATAAGCCCTTCGCCATGAGGCAGGAAGCAAGCCAGAGTGACTGGAGCCTGTGAGTGAACTTGCCTGGCCAAAACACGACCACGTGAGATTCGCGCCGACGCGTAGAATAGAAGGTACTTGAGTATTTTTGGGCTGCTTCTATCATATCAGACAGATTTGGGGTGGCTCGGAACGTAAAGGATATAATTGACTGGTCCTAGCTGTCTGAGAAGAGAAGGGATTATCGTACTAAACATGGTCAAATGATATACTACTCATGCGAGATCGGGGATTCGTACACGGGGTAGTCAACAAGCGTAACTTTGATCACCTTCCGAAGGGTGCTCCATATCAACCAAGCTCCAGCTTCTCTTGATATGATCAACTCATCCAACGGTGCTCCCTGTGCACGTCGGAAGTCTACAACATTGATAACTGCATCAACGAGGTCCTCATGCTGAGCCTGCTTGCTGCCAAATGGGAGAGCTAGCACCTTTAGACAGGGAAAAAGAAGACCCGTGTCTCCTGTAGACGCCGCGTAATGTCGCTTACTTAAGACATCCAAAATTTCCACGAAATATCCGTAAATTGCGTTGGTTTTGATCAGGCCGACAGCACGAACGTCTTTCGAGCGCATGAGATGAGGCCAAATGTTGTCCTTGTTGATCGTGCGCACAGAAGTGACATCAAGGGATATGCTGCCGAGGCGATGGACGGTAAGATGGGACGTGTATTGAGCGAGGTGGAAGTGTATCGGCGGATCGGCCTTGGTGAAAGTGTTCATCCTAATCGTGGTGGTGATTTTCTCCGAGTGGGATTCCGGCAGCACCCCAGAGCGCGAGGTCGAGACGAAGCGAAGGCTCTGATTGGTCACTTCCAGATGTTGTAGCTCAATATTGTCACATTTCGCTAGTGACAATGCAGGTATGATTCTGCCCATTGCGTCGTCAATGAGCGCCATACTGGTAGGCTGTCTGTCCATGCCGTGGACTTGGAAGTTGAGAATGCACTTCGGAGGCGCGCGAAGAAGGGAGATGAACGCAAGACCGTCGGCTGCGAGTTCCCCGTTTGTATATGCAACATCAAGGCTTCGCAGCGACGACGACAATGTGATCATGGATCGATGTTCCGCGATGGGCTCGAGACGGGGAGCGATGTTGTCGATCTCGAGAACTTGGAGACGGTGTAGCGAGGCCAGCAGTCCAAGCATGTCCTCATAAGACACACGAGACCCAGCCACGTTCGCCAGATGAAGGTCGGTCAATTCAGGTGAAAGTATGGAAGACCGCCAAGGGACGGACCACTCATCCAGACACAGCCTGGTTATCCCGGTCAAGCGTTGGAAAGGTACCGGGAGCTCAGTCTCGGCCTCGTCAGGATATTCCAGCGACATTTCCAGCACGCGCAGGTCTTCCATGTCTTGAGGCGGAGGAAGACGCCCTGCGACATACGCCACGAGGTCTAGATCGCAAACAATGTCCAGCCTCTTCGCGCGCCTGAGTATGGAGGGGGAGAGCCAAGCGTCTATGCTTCGGTCTTCAATCAAAAGCGCAGACTCGTCCTCCCATCCCAGCCCCAGGTTCAGCGTAGCCCCTCGTGTGCGAGAGAGGAAGTCCGGAATGTACCGTGGATGAATCATCGCCATGTTGATAAGGGGTTTGGACCATAGCGACGGTGTCCCGAGCGCGACCTGTACATACGTTTATAGTTCAGGTACTGCCACCATAAGACAGAGTTACGAATGCTTACGTCCCGCCAAAGACTGCAGACGTGAGTGACGCACATCCAACCAGCAAAGAAACACGGGTTCCTCATCTGCGACTGCTCACGCAGCGGCGGCCAGTCCGGCTCCAGGCACTCGAATATCATGGCAAGTATCTCTGCGGGCAGTGCACAGATGGCAGACTTCCGGTTACGTAGCCGGCGCGCTCTAAGCAGCGCCTGCTGTATGTCCGCCAGTTCAGAGTCCATGTGCTGCAGTTGACGTTCGCGGGGAGCGTGTGGGAGAGCGCTCTCAGCAAAGTGCGAGTCGACCAGAGACGACCACGGAGAACTGTGTCATCGTTATGAGAGCGATTGCGGCGCTCTCAAGCGAAAAACATACCTTGCATCCTTGGCCATGTTGGCGGTCGAGGACAAGTGAGTGCGAGCCTGTGCGGATCACGCGTTCGGCGACGCGACCATGTGAGTTCAGAGTTGCGGCGGCGCAGTACTCGTCATGATCATCGGAGCCTGATCTCGACATCTGGCAGTATGCGACTGACAAGTCTTTCGTGTCGAAATGGACTTCAAAAACAGTAGAGTTGGAAACAGTTTCATCTATTCCATCGCGCAGAACCAGTACAAATACATCGCATCAAATCAACATTCTCACTTCCTCGCACGGAACGCCTTCTCGGCAACCTCCCTCGCATCCTGCACCTTCCCGACCTCAGTCCCAACACCCTGCGCTCCATCCTCCTTCCCACCAGCCTTCCCGCCAATAACCTCGCTGACACTCGCCGCCCATGACCTTCCATCGAATCCGGGTACCCGGAGGAACTCGGGGATATGGTTGACGTGCGCGACCTTGCCTCCTTCGGCGTCCGCGCTGAAGACGTAGACTGCTTTCCCGAGTTTCTTTGCGGAGAGGACGACGGCTTGGAGGATCTATATACGGAGATTAGCATAGAATACGTGTTCATTGAAAGTGATGAGGGTGCATTACCTTGACGTTCTCATCAACAGGCACAACAGCGAAATACGCCTCCTCATCCGGCTACTCCTTAAAGAACGCCGTAACAGCCTCAACAGCCTCCTTCTGCGCCTTCGTCTCCCTCTCCTTCACCTCCTTATCGAACGCCTCCCGCACACTCGCCAACTTATCCCTAAGCGCGTTCTTCCGTATAAGACTAATATCCGCCTGGCCGAGCTCGACCTGCAACGTCTTGAGCGCTGCGTCTTTCGCTTTGCCTACGGCGTTCTCGGCCGAGACGAGCCGGGACTCGAGGGTGTCGGCGGTGCGCGTTACGGAGGCGGCTTCGTGGCCTGTGACGGCGATGATGCGGCGGATGCCCTTCGCGATGCCGGATTCTTCGGTGATGACGAAGTCCTTAATGTCGCCGTGCGCGCGACGTGCCTCTGAAACAACGCATCAGCACGACGAGTTGATGAGAAAGACCAGAAGAAAGTGTACCCACGTCCCACCGCAGAACTCCACGCTCGGCTCAACGCGACGGAAGTCGTGCTCCTCGCGAAAAGGACAACGTCCGTCGTACGTCGCTGTCTCTTCTCCATGAGATGGGCGCGGATGGTGCGGGTGCTATGAGTGAGTGTGTGGACATAGATGTCGCGGGCCGTGGTCGTGCTTGATGTGCCAGAGACGATGCGGACCGAAATCGCGCGGATGCTCGAGAGGCTGAGCGGAAGGGTGCGCAGGACGATACATGGTCGCATGGAAACCGGCTGTAAGCCTGCAAAAGGACAACTCAACATTGAGAAGGGAGACGATCGGGAAGAAATGCATACGCAGGCAGCGGGGCGACACGTCGAGACTTCGTTCGCGATTGGGTCGAGACCGGTCTTACACCTAGGGACTACCCTTGAGTACACATTCCAAGGGAGGCTATCAGCAAGGATGACGTACGCTAGCACATCACAAGCGCGACCTGCTATACGCCTCAAATACAGCCCTCGCCATCTTCCATGCATCCGGAGATACGGATAGCCACATCCGGAGCCGTAGCCACTACGGCCACTTGATAAGCGCCGCCCTAGCATCCTTCTTGATTTCCCGACGCCGTCGAAGAGCGTGTACTCCGACATCGCTTCATTATGGATGAGGCCACAAGGTTACTTAGCAGTAGACTTAGCTTAGTGATGTGTAGCATGCGGTTCACAACGAAGCATACTTGTTTGCGTCGTTTGTCATGGTGGTAGTGGTCAAGAGGCAAGTCGCGACTGGCGACTTCGGACGGCCCTGGACGGCCTGACGCGGCTTGCTTTCGACCATCGCAAACCCCAAATTCCACCATAGAGACGCCTTTCTGGTATGTATCTGGTATTGGATAACTCCGCATTGCCCTTTTTGCCTCGAGACCCTCATTATCTATATATATGAGCGGTACAGACCGCACAAGCAGCTATTCATACTGCATACGTCTGCGCCGTGGGGATGGTCCGCTCCGTACCGAAACCTTCATCGTGATTCGCCTTCTCATCATCGCGTTTGGAATAGAGCGAGTTGTCGAGCTGAGAGCTTGATGGGTGTGCGTCGGCTGAGGAGTCTGTGACAGGCACGGCGAATACGACTGCATCAGAGGCCGATGCATGAGCCACGCTACGCTCCACTACCGAACCCTGCACAGCCACAAGTATGATCACAAGTGTTGGGTACATTCCCTATAGTATGACCATTGTCAGGTCCTGGCTATAACTCGGTAAGGAAAGAGCTTACGGATAAGGTGGGGATGAAGTAGCTTCCCCAGTAAAAGGCCGTTTCGCCCCAGGAATGGATGAATTCGGCGTAGAGTATCGCGAAGTAAACCTATGCGACATGGCTTCAGATAGGCATCGCTCACAAGCCGGTTGTACCTACCCAAAATGCGGCATAAAGAAGACCAGACTCCACCACAAGAAGCATAACGGAGATACCTCGGCGAAGAAATGCTGTTCCGGCGTACTGCTTCACGCTCTGGCGGTATAGCCTGTCATTCATCATGACGTATCAGTCGGATGCGCGAGGAGGTGCGCTCTCAAAGCGAACATACCATGCCTTATAGCTAATCATGCAGGCAGCTAGGACCTGACACGCAGCAGTGCATACAAAGGTAGCGAGTTGCACAATCTCTGCGATACCTTCATCTGCAGGAGAGATATCTGCGCTCAAATTGCCCCTGAAGTTAGTAGTGGTAAGGTAAACGGCGTAGGTGGACAGCCCTGCGCTGCATTTATTACCCCATACCAGTCATGTCTATATGAAGACCTACCGGTTTCAACCATGCCTACGGCGACGAGCAATACTAGGATCCAGCGTGCACGACCATAGATCACATATACCCTCCAAAGCGTGATCATATCACTGATGATCATCTGAAACGCCATGGATTCAGCTTATACCGCGTCTGTCGTAGATGAGCGATATCATGCGCCTACCACGATGGGAGTTAGGACATTCTGTATGTCCTGGATGATATCCCGCGCTCGTGTGTAAGAGGCCCCATAAGCCTCCGCGCGTGATGGCAGAAGCCGTGCTGGTATTGCCCAACGGAGCTGTAGCCACAAATCCCAGACGTCGCAAGCCCAACAAATCGTTGTCAGAGTATACAAACAAAGCGAGAGTGCGATGCTCCAGCTGAGCAAGCGCGAACGAGACTGCCATCGCTGAAAGAGGAAGTATAACATGATGAGAGTGAATACGGCTACACCGGGTGAATACCGTCAGTCGCAGTCTGGAAGGCCGCGGGCGAGAAGGACTTGCCGACGAGCGCGGTCTCCAGAAGAAGCGGGAACACGACATAGTCCGCGGTGGCTGTAAGGCTGAGATAGACGTCTTCCAATACCGTATCGCAGGTCTCATTTGTCGCCATGAGATGGATAAAGGCAGGTTTGCGCCACCCTTCTCTCGGAGGGCCCGATGTTCCTGCGACATCTATATACGAGTTGGCGATTCAGCATATCAGAGAGAAGACTTGCTATGAGACATGAACAGCGGCTTCGGAGCACGCAGCTATAGAAGAGACGGTGTCTCGGGGGTCCGATGGCGTAAAGATGATCAGCTGGCGATGTGATGAGCGGGAAGATCTTCGACGCCTAGCCCGCATGGGGGCGAGTATACGCCACATAGCTTAGACCCTTCGCCATCCTTCTTATCTCTCTCAGAATAGGTCCATCGTGAAACGAAAAGGCAACTGTATATGGTGCGAGGCTATGCCACCGAGATCTCGTCGTGATTATGAGGAGATCAGTACCCAAGCATCGAACGCAGACGCCGATGCCATCAGTGACCTCTGTAAGGTTCTGTGTAGCCCGTGCAGAAGCAGCAAGCAAGGAAGATGAAGAATGCAAGGTTCCGCCGAGGCTTCCGAGTCAAAGTTTGAAGACCGCGGGGGTACGGGTCGGCTTGTGCCCTTCGCAAAGCGAGCTTTGATTAGTGAGTGTTGCTGCGAGTGACGGGCGCTGGCGATGACAGGCCGCATGGGCCGGTTCGTATGAGGCGGTAATACCACATCATATGTGAGCCGGATGGATTCTCTTCGATGGTCAAGATAGGTTGGTACTTGACCGCTGCGTCATGGTAGAAGCGAAGAGGGCCGTCACCCGTGTCTGTCTGTGCAGCTCAACGCGCCTTTTGGCAACAAACACGAACACGTGAGATTGCACGCAGTACGCGCGTCTGAATAGGCGCGCAAAGACGCGTATATCCTCATCCGTTCGAATTTTCACTGCGATCAGAATAATATCTGGATCCATCCATAACAAGCAACAAAGTGTAGCGAAAACAACATCCTCCTAATTACACCCACAACACCCCACCGCTCAATTAATCCCCATCTCACCCAACACGACCCGACTCCCCTCCTCCTCATACCCCTCATACCCCGGCATACCCACAATCCCGACCTTCCACCCCTCCCCACACAAACTCATATCCATCGTCTCGTCGCCCATCTCTCCCATCCCCACCCCTTCCTCTGCATTCACCCTGTTCCCGCGTGGCGTCAAATTTTGAGCAAAAGCGCCCATACCAGCGGGCCACCCGTTCCATGTTTCGCCGGGCGCGGCGTAGTTCGCTGGAGGCGAGAAGACGTGAGGGCCGCCGGGCGTGGGGAGGAGACGGGGGTTTTGTCGGTGTTTGAGGAGGGGCCGGGGAAGGCGTGCGTGCGGAGGGGCGTTGCTGCGTCCACGGCGGTAGCGGAGGGAGAGAACGGTGAGGAGAGTTGAATGTCGTGAGCGGTAGTGAGCGTTTGTACGTCGGGCTCGTCATCTGCATTCGCCTGCTCCTTGGCCGCGGTCTCAGCACTGACTCGGGCTCTTCGACCTCGTCCTCGACGTCAATCCTCTTTCACATCCCCATCCTTACCCTCGTCTTGGACCGCGACCTTCTGGGTCGGCATAAATGCGGGCTTGACTTGGATCCTAAGCACAAGCGGTCGTGTACTGTCCGCCTTCGTCGCAACAGGCGAATCAGACGCAGAATCAGACGCGGCATTAGCATTCATCCGCGCGAGCTGTGGCGATGTAGGCTGTGTCGGACTCGTTCATGTCCTAGTCGGTTCTGGGGCCTATCCGTGCGGTTCAACAGCGGGCGGTACTCGGCAATACAAGCGTCGCGAGCACTGGTTTGAACGCAACAGAAGAGCTTGGCGGTACCTTGCTCAGCGGAGGCCCCGTCTTGGTGGGTGCCAATCGCGGTGCAAAAGAAGCGGCTTGGGTCATGCAGCGAGGGGTCTCTAGTGTGGCTGGTGGGGTTTGATGGTTGAGCGTGCGCTAGAGCCTGTTGGCGCCGCAAAAATCGACCTGCGGACCTCATTTAGCGTATAGCTAGAGGGAAATTATCCATAGGAAAGACGTACGTTGCCACGCGTCTACAGTACCCTGGCCATCTTCCTCACATCCGCCGCCGCAACCGAAGCCGTAGCCTCGATGACCCCTCTATATAAGCCGCCCTCACATCCGTCTTGCTATCCCGAGGGCGCTGAAGCTGAGCGTGTGCTCCAAGCTCGTGCCACCATGGACGCTACCATAGGTCTACCTGGAAGTAATGTCAGCATGCTGATATGCAGAAGCTATCGTGAAACGTAGCGTACTTATTTGCGTCGTTCGTCGTGGCAGTCAAGAGGGAAGTCACATCCTTGCGCGACCGTCGCGTCTCGGCTTTTGGCAGTGTCATAGCTTGCTCTCAACCGCCACATACACCTCACGAGTGG